CAATGCACGGTGAGGCGGAAGCCAAACTTGTTTTGGGAGACTTTTTCAGCATCAAAGAAGAGCAGGGCACCGCCACTACTGAGAATTTGCGCATGGATGTCGAAGAGTCTTGGCTAGATCTGCAGCTTAGGTTCTGCGATCTAAAATTCGATGAGTTGTTCAAGCATCTCATACGCGTATAATATACCGCTTGAAACACCTTTATTCACAGTTTACCAATCCCAACCGCATTTGAAAGATGCCTGAATGCCAATTTATTAACCATCGAGTTAAACTGCTGGGCTGAGGATCCTAACCTTGAGGTACTGAATGACACCCTTCCAGATCTCAAGTCCAACATGGAGCAGCTCCTTCAGAAAGGAGAAGGCGGTGCCGACGATGGTGCAGCCGACGCTGCCCTGGCAAGCTCCGGGTCGTTCAAGCTTCTTGCAATAATATATACACGGCATTGCAGGTTTAGGCAGGTTTGGCAGGTAAGGCCACTTTCTTTATGATGTTGGCTAGTGATCGTCCCCCTCAGGCTTGTGTTTCCATCGGTGCAAGAGAACAGCTCAGCCATCGCGATCCTTCCTCAATTTCTGAGTGTTTGTGGACGAAAGATTGATTCGACTACTGCTGTGCTGGACCGAAAGACTCTTGTTTTCTGCTCCCCCTGAATTCTGGCCCATGGAAATCCAACCTTGAACAGGACAGGCTGGCATCGCTCAAAACCTCCCAGGCCAAGGAGTACCAGCCTAAGCGAATGAATACGGAGACGCTCACAACAAAAACATGTGTTGATTCAAAGGTACGCCGATGCCATCAAGGTGCACGCCAACACCATGAAGACGTTGTACTCAAAACTCGAAGCACTTCAAGGGGATGTGGCTGTGACACGTTCCGCCAGGCAGTCAATCACGTACATATATACAGATACTTGTTATAGCGCATTCCGTCAAACTGTTTGCATCTCTATACTGTTTACTGTCTTCATTATATGCATTCTGGTGAGGCCTGAACAGCAGAAAGAAATGCTTCAACTTTGTGCATCCTGTACCCGTACAGATGTGGCCCTGAACAATCTTGTGGTGAGGTCAAGGCTCCGTACCAAGTCGATGTCAAAGTTCCTCCAAAGACAGCCCGCCTCACCGCAGGAGCGTCAAAGCGGCGAAAGGCACTGGCGCTGGGGGAGCCAAGAAACCAAAAGGCACTGGCACCGCGGGAGCCAAGCCAAAGGGCTCTGAGGCTCCCAAGACCAAGACCAAGGACGTGAAGTCGAAGACTAAGGGCAAGCCTAAGGCCTCTAAGTCTAAGCCTTCAAGGTCCAAGAAGTCTAACCCTCCCAAGCCTGATACGGCAGATGAATCCTAGGGTTTTCAGTATAGTTTGCTTTTTGTGGTGTGATTTGCAAGAAAATCACACGTGGGGATTGTTGCAAAGCAGCTGGCATCCATGCTAGCAAAAGAATAATCTTCGATCGATCATGATCTACATCAATGTCCACCGCTTTTTTGGTGCAGGCTGCCTGATAGCAACATCTAATCCGGGAAAGTATCTCATGATACTGGATCATGCCTATATAGAGTACATATGATCGTACGCGACCAGTTGAAAAACTTGGAGCTCGTATAGCTGTGCCAGCATTGATCAACCAGCATGCTTCTCGGCAAAACGCCAAAACTACATATATCATTTCAAAGCCCGGCCATTCGCAGGTCAATCCCGTGGTGACCTTTTGTGCTCCCGACGTGACTGTGCAGGCAAGCCCTCTGTCAGAGTCACGCAGCTTCCCCTGTTCTCTTTCCTGCGCACCTTTCTAGCGAGGACTCGATCTGGAGGAAGACAACGACCTGGCAGACGAGCTCTTGGCAGGATTTGAAGCAGGGGCCCCTTGGCTGCATGCTACATTGTCAAATATACAAGTACCTGATCTTTTGAAAGGCTTGGGGTCTAGCAGTGTGAGTGAAATCATTGTGCAGTGTGAGTGACACCTCTCGCTCAGGCAGAATCAGCTGCCCGTGTGGTGCGATTAGCTACTGTGGCACACAACCGCCTTCACAAACATGGTACCTTGGAATAAATGAGTGCGCGCGCACGCAACTCCTTATCAACATGCACTCATGTTGCTGTCTCACTGCTGATCGTCGTAAAGGTGAACCCAACCTATATCATTAGCATGCAGCTACATGATGCGTTCGTTTCCTGTTCAACATTCTTTGGCCTACTTTTTTGCTCTGCAGGATTGGCAGATCCTTTGCTTTCCAAGATGGCGAGGTGTGGGAAAACCCGGACTGATTCGCATATATGCAGGAACCTGCATAGAACAGTCAGGTCTTTTGGAAAGGACCTGCCCGTGTCGATCACCACAGTTTCGACAACCCATTTGCGGAAGAAAAGAAAGATTCCTGTTCAACATCCAGTCTTGCTTCCATCCAACTGGGCGGAAACCATATTCAACTACGGTGGGCACTTCCTTATGCAGGGAAAGGACTTGAGTGATGCTGGTCAGTTTTCCCAAGACCTGACAGATTTCTGGCGTAATTTTTGTGCCACGCATCCCGACTTCAAGCTCCCGGCTGCTCAGTGGGATCACTCGATCCCAATATGCTTGCACGGTGATGAGGGACGCGGACGTCTGAAGCATCCAGTAATGGTTATGTCGCTACAACCTCTTTTACCACTACGTCCTGGAAAAACAAACATGGCTGGGTCCTTTGATTCAATGATATACAGTGCGTACATACCATTGCAAAGCTTTAGCTTGTTTTGTTTCTTTTCAGGGGCTTTAGGAACACTCGTATATATAAAGAGGGGGTTGACCATCTAAGGCCTAGCATGTGCACCCGCTTGCTCTTCACCATCCTTCCAGCGCCATACAGCCAAGCCTGCTTGTTCGATCTGCTGCGAGTGTGGGTTTCCGACCTGAACAGCATGGCCACAGAGGGGATCACAGCAACTTAGGGGCAAAAAGAGGCACATGCATACTCCATGGACCGCTTGTGATACTTTGAGTGACACATGTTGTGGCCATGCCAGTGGAAACCCACAGCCGGCTTCTGTTTGACCCTCGAGGTCTTGTGGAAGGGAGAAGTATACAAGTACCGCTTGGTGGTGGTCAGCCTTAAAGGCGATTGGCCATTCTTAAGGTCAAGCATGGCCTTAAACTGTGGCTTTAATTGCAAGAAGAAGTGCCATAGATGTACCCTTGACGACTCTTAGTATGCATCAGCCATGTCTGCAAGTCATAAACAAGTATGCATGTCTTCATATAAACAATCCTTTGTCGTTGACATGCTCCTAGGAATGGTGGGACGTAAAAGGTGCTGTGAGGCAGCTTCGTCGTTCCGACATCAACCCGGATCCTTTCAAGAGTCAGCGTTCTCCCTTACGAGATGTTTCTTTTTTTGAAGGAAACCCCGAGCTGATTCGTATCGACCCTGCTCATACCTTTGCAATAGATGGGGTTGGCAAATGCTACTACGCTAGCAGCATTGTCTTGCTGCTGTTGGCTGGCCATTTTGGACATGGAACTACAGACCGGAGCTTCGGGATTGCCTACTCTCGCTTTGTAGCCTTCTGCAAAGCTCACAAGAAGCACACCAGCATCCAAGAGTTCAGCCACAAGACCCTAAAATTGCCAATTGGTTCGTTTCCTGTTTGCACATATGGTTGATGGTGATATGGTTTTATGCAATGCAGTAGTAACACTTGGTTCGTGTTCGTGGTTCTGCCAATATTCAGTGATTCGCCCTTTTCGTTTTCCCAAGGCTACGTGGTTTCCCTCGCGGCCTTGGCAAAGGGCTAGACGCCGGTGTTGTAGGGGCATGGTTGAACGAAGAACTCGACCAACTCGATGTGGCCTCATTCGAAGCAAGGATGTGTTCAACATTGTTTTCAAGAAAATGCATACAACAAAAAAGGTGTGTGCAACGTTTTGGATCTTGGGTTGTTCTAGGTTTTAGCTATTCGATCTAGATAAAACCACATCCTTAGCAATCTAAGGAGGAAGACTTTCGAGAAATGCTTGAAGTGCTCCGATGGAGCTGTACAGCCATCAACCGCTTTTGGAGGTGCATCTACAATAATGGAGTGTGGCTGGGGCGAAGAGAGGCCATTGGCCTTGTCCGGGACGGTTGGGCGTTCATCGTGGCTAGACTTAAAAGGGCGAATTGGAAAGGTTCAGCACGCTTCACTGAGTCAATGTATATAGCTATCAATGTCCGATGTCCTTTCTTGTAGGTCCTATATCCTAAGGATGGCTATTCGACCCTGGCAAGCCAATGCGCAAGACGCGGCATTGCTGGCTTCAAAATCCGTCCAAAGCTGCACATGCTATGCCATTTAGTGCCACTTGGTTCTCTTTTAACAGTTGGCCAGTTGGCTTAAGTTCACATGACCTTTTTGGCCAATCAAGGAAAGACCTTGAGCATATGCTCGAGTTGAGTGATGGCGAATGGTTCGAAAACCCAGCTTGCCATGCAACATGGTCCGATGAGGACTTTATTGGAAGAATCTCTCGTATCTCAAGAAGAACACATAGCTTAACAGCGACTTCCAACACCATCAAGAGAGCCTTGGGGTATTACCGAAGAGAGTGGGCAAAAGAATTCGACCACTCATACCTCGAAAAGCTCTCTGAGCTGCCTTGAGACTCCCGGCCAATCGAGAAAAGAAGTCGAGGAAGTGCATGATGTGCATTGGCTTGTCAGGGCTGAATGTCGGTGTGTGTGTGTCCCCAACCCAAATCCACAATCCTATTCGTACTACTTTTTTGGGCATCGACCACTTTTCCTGAACTCGTAGTAGATTCTCTGGAATCGTATCACTTATTTTTCGTACTAGAATTTTCTATGTCACTAGGTCCTCTAGGCCAAAATAGGGTCACTCAGGCTCTAGGTGACTGATGGTCTCTGATGCTCAGAGCTCGGTCACCAGCTTCGCAACCATCCGCTCCGTGGCGTGGCGCGCGCGCGCAAAGCTGCTCGACCGGTCCGCGGGGATCTGAGCCGAGCCGACCGAAGGCTGTGCAGCTTCTTGGGCATTGCCGCCTACAAAATGGGCCTGTGGCGTGGTTTTGCGATGGAGCGGGGGAGGGGGGGTTCCTCCCCCCAGTTGGACGTGTGCTGAAATTTGGAATGCCTTCGCAGTGGTGGGGGTGGAAGCCAGTGTTGCATCCAAAGCTTGAAATGCTGGAACGGCATAGCTGGGGGATGAATGAATGGTTCCATCTTCATCCCCGTGAGGGGTTTCCCAAAAAACGGCAGCCACTTTGGAGAGCCACGTCCCGGACACATGCGTCTGGTCTACCTGTCATCTATCGAGTCTAGAGCTTTGCCCGTTTGAACCACGACCTACGAGTGCTGGATGCCACGCCGAGTACGTTCCTTCCACGATGCCAGCGCTCGGGATTTCTGAACCTCGTGTTTATATTCTTCATATCTCTTCATATATGGAAAAGAACGGACAGGCACCCAAACACGAATTGTATGCGAACACCAGTTGCACCAGGAGTCAGGTTCGACGGGATGCCAAACTTGAAGGATAGGGGTGCCCATGATCCACATCCACTCACTCGATGGGACTCAAAACTACCTAACTCCATGTGACTCCTGGTCTACAAGTGCGTAGCTTCCGGTTCGGTCCATTCCCCGTTCGGTCCTTGGGGCCCGGATCGTACAAGGCTGGGGGCCTTCACCACGTGCTTGGTGGTCTTGTTGGATCTCGCCGTGCTCCTCATGATCTTGCAGAGACTTGGTGAGGCGAAGCGACCGGGTGCCCTGGAACCCAATTGGACCCTGGTGTTGAAGCCCAAGAGCTGTTCTTTCTGAATTCGCCAGATAGCGTGAGCTATTGGGGTTCTTACTTCAAGTATAGGAAGACGTTATTGAGCCTGGGTGCTGGTGCTGCTGCAGGGTGCCGCTGCTGTGTGCGCTTGGGAGCTTGGGTGTTGGTGCCGCTGCAGGGCCGCTGCCGTGTGCGCTTGGGAGCTTGGGTGCCCTGCAGGGTGCAGCTGCTGTGTGCGTTTGCCGCTGCTGTGTGCTCTTTAGAACTTGGGTATGTGGCCCGTGTGCACTTTGGAGCTTGGGTGTTGCTGCCGAGTGTATGGCTCGGGGTGCTGCTGCTGTGTGCCTTTTGGAGCTTGGGTGTGGTGCCGCTGCCAGCCGTGTGCCTTTTGGAACTTGGGTGCTGGTGCCGCTGCGATGTGCCGCTGCCAGATGCGTGGCTGTTTGCGCTTTGGAGCTTGGGCGCTGCAGAGTGCCGCGGCAGTGTGCTGCCCACAAAAGTATTTTTGCTATTTGGGATCTATGCCAGGCGTAATTTTCGTTTTCGCAGCTGTGCCGGGAGCGAAGCTAGCTAGCTGAATGGGAGCATTCTGTAAGCTTGGGCTGCTAAGTCTGGACTCGTTGGTTCTGACTGTTTTGAAGGGTATATTGAAGCACGGAAAAGATTAGAGTTCCTGTACACAGCATCTTACAACTTGTATCTTTCAGGGAAGGAAGGAGCCAAAAACATGAAGGGAGGGCCCTCTGGGAGCGCGGCGCGTTCACTATGTTTCAAACGCTATTGAGTGGTAATGCTGTTTTGTGTGTCATTTCGTTTCAGCGGCTCTTCACCAATCTTTCAAGCGGTGTCTGTGGCACAGGTGGCCGATAGCACTGTGCAAGGACTCTTAGGTGAGTGTTCTGAACTGCCCTTGACGTATGTACCTTGCGTGCATGCAGCTTCATTAACCCTCCACCCAACCCACATCTATACGTCTTTGATAATGTTGCGCAACCAACGGCAACAAATAGTGTGCAAACAACACTTACAAAAGCAACCGAGGGGCGCTCTCTGCCACAAGACATGCTGGGGGCGTCTCTCTAGTCAAAAGAGTTGTTGACATATTCATACCAGTCGCGAGAACAATCGTATCCCCCCACTTGGAACGCATGAAACTGGGGGGAACCTCACGTGAAGCTGACCATGTTCAACTCCACCTGTTCAGATTCATTGGGTCCAAAAACACAGCGTATCCTTCGTTTTGGGCGAAGTCTTCAACGCTTCTAGCCCCCACCAAAGAGCGCTCGTCCAGCGTAGCCGCTGAAAAGACGACCAAGTGACTCAGACGTTCTGCAGATTTTTTGGTCACTCAAGGATTCTTCCTGCTTGCCATGCAAGTGCAAAGTTCTAGGAAACAGTTGCGGACGCGCTTGGCCAGACGCATCGAAAACGGGCATTGAAGAAACTGAACATGTATACAGTGACAGGTTCCCCCATGGAAGGAAGTGAAACGTTGTACCGGCTCCCCCTCAAATCATTCGCAACGTGGCAACATCAGCCTGACTCTGGTGTAAAGCAGTATGTATAACTATATATACTTATATTATATATACCATGTTCATGCATGCCAATGCCATTGACATTAGACTTCAATGCGCACTGGTTTTGATATGTTTTGATGTCCCTTTTCTATTCAGCAGAACTTGTGCGGGGATAACCTGCCGTCCCTCCAATCCTGATGATGCTGACACAGGCCCACGCACGCTGACGCCCATCCAAATACGATCACAAGAAACTGGACACATTCAGCCATCGTTAGTACCAACTCGATGGTTCTTTGAAGTGTCAAGACTGTTTACAGGGATAACTGGCTTCTGTATCTTCTGGCAGCCAAGCGGCCAAGAAGCGACGTCGCTTTACAAGTTCCATGATTTCCATGCTTGATCAGACATGTTGACCTCAGCACACCTAATACCATGGGAAAAGAACAGTGGTCGAGCAGGATCAGGACTTTTTTTCACGGAAGATCCTTGATGGATCGACTGTTTGGAGACCTGTTTCCAAATACCGCCTCCAGCGGTTTGGAGACCTGCCGACCTGCCGGCGCGCGTTTGCGGGCGCCGCGGGCGCGCCGCTCTCCTAAGGAGATACTCTCCAGAGGATGAGTCGATTTACATCCACTTCGCGGTCGCCTGCGGTCTCCTGGTCGCGGACGCGCCTCGGCGGATGTTGTGGGGGGTCATCCCGAGGACTGGGCAGAAAGGAGTCGGTGCCGGACCTGTCTGGGTGGGATCCAGGGGACGATGAAGCGGGTGGGACTCCTACTTTGTGGACGAGGCGGCTGGATAGCTATAGGCGTTTTGATAACCACGAAGAAACTGGGTCACCTCCAGCAAAATGGGTGTGTATCAAACACCCAAATGCAGATGCCCTGAAATTCCTCATAAAAACGCAGCTTCGGTCCCCTCCGTCCCGAGAGCCTTCGGACACCGGGTCCGGAGTCTGAGGGCCATGGTCAAGACAGACAAGCCCTTGGGTTTGCATCAAATCATCCCCTGTGTGTGGATCGTTCTGGCCGGTTTTTCTTCTCCTTGAGAAACCAAGAAGTGGAGACCTGCGTCGGTCGGGGCGATCCAGTGCAACCCCACGTGAGCAGCGGAGCCATTGGAGACCTCACGGACCACCCCATCACAGGGTGAATTGATGTGAAGACAATATAAGACAATGAAATCCAGTGATATCCAGTGTAGGATTCCACACACTTGGTGGGTTGTGTAAATCTGGGAGTAAGCTAGGTGAATCCAAAGATCCCAACACTTCATTGTCACACCTTGGGTGATGGGTGACCAACACCTGTGAAGACCATGAAACACCAGAACAGTCCAAAGATCCCAACACCTGGGTCACGTATCATGAAGTGCCCAGAGTCTGAGTACCGAGTACTTCGCCCTTTGTTCCACGCTCCGCTCCTCAGGGAGCACGCTATGTGGACCGGCCCGGGTTCTGCTACCCGGCGCGCTGCATCAGCCGGGCGGTGGATCGGTAGCCCGGTAGATCGAAGGAGGAGATGGGAGGGTTAGGGGCTCGCAGCCCAGAAAGGCCACGCAGGCTTGGTGCGGAGGCTTGGTGCTGAAGACAGACCTAAGCACCAAGCCTAGGCACCTCCTTTGACATCAGGTTGGCCCACAGCAAACGACTTGCTGTAGCTTGCAGCTTTGTTCATGTGTGTAGAACACATGTCATTATGTGCTTGACGGCTTTTGGGTGCGGACACTCTCGCTCGCCCAGCTCGCCCCAGCCCCCCCCTCAAAAGAAAGAAGTTGCTAGCTCATAGCATCTTGCATCGCGGACCAGGGCCCACGGGAGTTGGGTGGTTCATGAATACCCCTTGATTCCCCTCTTTTCCTCAGGGGCTTTTCCATGACCACCCCATCCATGGCCGGCACGTGGTCCCGAACACCCCCGACACTTCGTCTTCACCTCTCAGGTGGCATCGCCTCCAGTTCCTCCTCTTGATCGCCCTTTTCGTGGTGCTCCATGTGACCCTTCTCTCGGGCGAGAGGCAGGTCCCCGGCCCGGAGCCGGGCGACGGGCGGCACAGGGGGACGACAGGGGGACGACTTGGATTGACATGGACCTGACACAAAGATCTCATGCAAGCAACGATACCTACGTATATAAAGAGTGTACAAGAATGTACAAGACAAGATGGTTCATGCTTCAAAAAGAGCCGTGGACAGCAGTCATTGGGATGGCGATGATTTGAAGCATGGAGGCACCCAGCGCATGATTGACTGGACTTGAACAAAACAGGGGGAAGCGTGACGTGGGCGTTATATACAGATTTTTGTTTTCCCTTCATCCTCAGGTCCTCAAGTATAGTAGACTTTAACCATCTTTAACCATATATACCCTGTTCTACTTGAACAGACTACAACAGGTCAACCCTTCAATGAGTAGTCTTGGAAGTCGTGTGGGTATAGGAATGCCCCTACCATTGTTCGGATCGGATCTTTATTTAAGCGGTATAATGGCCTCCCCTTGGCTCGATGCTCAAAGGAAATGGCCCAGCGATTCCCCTGCAACTGTCTTTTTCCCGTACCTCAACGCGGGCGAACCGCGAACCTTAGCTCCTTCAGGCAGCAGGAGATGCGGTTTCTGAGATGCTATCCATTGGACGCTCGGATTTGATGTTGAACGACTGAACTATACTCAATTCTTATTCCGCCGGCATGGATCTTTGGCGAATCAACTCCCCCCCAAAACAAGACTTATGCTCCTTGGAAACCTCATGGAAGTGGAACACCACCAGTTTGGTTATCCCTGCGGGGGCCATATCCACTTCCATGATGTCCTGAGCTCCAAAACCTGCCAAAATGCGCTTGGCCCGGCCTGGCAATGCGTGCCCGTTGTTTTAAACTAGGAGCTGTGGAAGGTGGAACCCGTTCCTTGAAAAGGTGGACCAAGTTCCTCGATGTGCTCTGACGGTCTTTTCTCAGGGTTCCATGGTTTATCAGAGTTTTGCTCATCGGGTGGTTCTATTTGTCCATATTTTTCCGATGGGTAAATTCCCTTCTGGAGAAAGTGTTTTTACTTTTTCCCGGTTCCTGGACAGCAAATCCAAGGACTGAAGGACGATGCTTCTGCAGGAGCTGGAAGCTCCAGTGCTAACCAAAGTGGTGCATTGCACAGCCTTGTAGAAGCAACTACTTACTGGTAGTAAGAAAGAAATACATAAAATAAAGAAAGAAACATATACAGAAAGAAAGAACGAATCTTGCTAGCCTCAATCTCTAGTCAGCCTGTGTCACAGCCCCGTTGATCCTAGCGTAGTGGTTGCATGCGCCATTTCTCTGACCGAGGCTGTGGTTCAAGATGGTTCGAGTGGTGGAATTGAGTATGGGAGAGCAGCATGCGTTCGAATCTTCTAATTTAACAGATTCCTCAAGAAGATTCAGGAAGATTCCTTTCGAGTACCGGCGAAGCGCTTAAAATTCTTATGGGGGCTCATTTGGACATCCCATGTTTTCCAGGGCTCGGTGGATCGCTCCAGACCCCTGGACACCTCACCCCCAACTCAGGCGTGGTCCTTGGTGATCTCCCTGGTGGTGAGCGAAGGCCTCAAGTGCACGGCCCTCAAGGCACCCGGGCGACGAACGGTGAGGAGCGCAGGGTCCGCGCAGCGAACGTTTCCGCGGACCAGTCGACCATGGTCGACAGAAGACATACATGAAGATGATGAGGTCGCCATGGACCTGTTTTGGAGGACACAGGTGATGAGGACATGCTGGAACAATAGGCGAAAGGGAAGAGTCTGAGGCTGCCATGTATTGTTGGCAATAATCAGCGGTACCATACAGGATGATCCGGATCTTGCAGCTTTCTACAGCACCTATCAAGACGCAAGTGGTCGTGTACAAGAAACAATAAACAAGAGTCTCAAGAGTTTTCTGCAAGTGTCGAAGGGGAGCTCCTCATCATCATCGAAGGGTTCTGGAAAACATGAAGTCCAGGGCAAATTTGGAAAGAATTCAAAAGATTTTCCAAGTCTGCAACAAAGGATAGCCGAGACACACTGCCGAATGTCCTCTCCGGAAGAACACATCAGAACTCTCTGCCGACAAAGGAACATCTGTGGCACCGACTTCAGCAGCCATGGCCTTTGACCTCAGCAGTAAAATCCCCAAAGACCATGACATTGTGTGTTTGGAATGGTTTCCCAAAGACATGAGTTTCGGTTCCCAAGTCGGCCAAATCAGTGGAAACCAACCTCGCTGGTGGGGAACCTCCCACACCGCGATCGAGCGAGCGACAGGTGACGGGCGACGACCTGCACACCGCGATGCTGAACCACCGGCGCGTCGGTCGCAGGGGCCGAAGTCGGTCGCAGGGGTTGTGGGGTGGGAGCCGTTGGTTTTGGCGAAACGTTTGTGTGACAAGAGAAGACATTAGAGATCTGGAAGAAGACGTTGATACTATAGTATTGACTATATGTGACTATATCATTGGAAGTATACTGTATATATATATATACACATGGGTTCAGCATGTTTTGTCCATCAAACACTTGTCCCAAGTCTTTTTCCCTTCCAGAGACGGCAGTTAACTCCACGGTCCATCCTTGTTCAGTGTGGTACAGTGCCGACTGTCAGACCCAGTGGTTTTTATTGTTCTCCTTCCCCCTTAAAGCAACCCTGATCCATCCCAAGGAGGATCACCGGAATACAGACTTGATGACCCTTGCCCCGTTTTTCGCACTCATCTTGCTGAGCCCAGAATATGGGTGAAAAGCTTTGGTTTATTTCGTTGGATCCACGATGTGGCATCATGTCCAGATCAGGACAACATTTGCTCACCCATTTCAAAAGCAACGACGTGTTTCTACAAATGATGCTTTCATGGACAAACCATGGGCTCTCCAAGATGTTTCGAGAAGGGAAAGCGCCCAAGAAGGGACCAACCTCGAACATCATAGAACACCTGATGTTCTCAGTATATAGCAAGTTCTTTCTTTTTCCCAACCAAAGGCTTTGCCGTAAGCGTATTCATTCGGATTTGGGGGTTCGGACGGTTCTCTTGTTGGGGGACCCATCAAAAGGGACCGTTTTGGCGAGAGCCCTCCAATTGCAAAACTCGGATGTGGGGGGGGGGGTTGGTACAGCAAAGCACTGACAGGTGCTTAGTAATGTAGACTCTTGAACACACATACACCCCCCATATGAAGAGGATGTTCAATTCAAATGACTGGGGTTATTAATCAAGAGTCTACATTAGAGACTAAGAGAATGACCCCCCGGACTATAGATAGGATCCAGCCACCCTCATTGCGTTTTTAGTTGCTCGCACCGAATTTCAGCGGTGGCCCCAGTGGAGTCAGCTCTTAGTGTGACACCTGAGTTACAGTATATACCCGTCGCACTCAGGATTTCCCGAGTGCGGAAGTTGCTGGAGTTCAGCCGTGCACTGAGGAGTTCAGCCGCGCAAAACGAGTGCTAGGAGCCTGGTTTTTCATGGATTTTCCCACCCAAAATGAACAGAACAGACTACCCACAGCCACATCTTCGAAGCCGCTTTTGATGGAGGAATCGTCGACCACAATGAGGGATCCTGTGTGGTTCACCAAGAACCATAGCAGCTCACAGTTCCAGCAAGTCCTGGAACCGCACATGGTTTTCCCCAGAGATTTGAAGAACCGATTTGAGGTCCCCAGGGGACCTAGGTCCATCACTTGTGACAATTATAGATGGCCAATGATGACTGACAGATTTTGCATGCTAGACTTGGAGACTCGCACGAACTCGTGATGGATCAGACGAACTCGTGATGAGAATCCTTCGGGGCTCAGGGTGAGGTCCAAGTCTCGATGCATGTGGTTTTGATGGATGAAGAGTTTCGCTTTTCTCTAACTGCCCATGAGGGATGTGGAGTGTCGTTTTGGGAATGTAGAGGAATGATGGACGGAACATGGTCATCCAACCGGCCCATTTTAACCACTTCCAGGAGTGTATTGTGTGTTTGTGTGTTCAACGAACGTGCTTTGGAACTTCTGGCTGGGGTTTGAAATCAAATGATGGGCGAGAAACGCTCGGTCAGAGGACTCCCTTGATTGGGAGTGGTGTGAGTGGGAGAGGACTGGTGAGTAGGTGTGGAACATCCTTGGAGGCTCCAAGACATGCTAATTACATAGATCTAATTAGAGAGCTTGTTGGATGCTATCAATTGTATCAATGCATTTGTGTGTATTTAAAGAGGGACCCTCTGGAAGAAGGAAATAGACCAACACCTTTTTTACATGTAAAACATGCTCTGGAAGAAGGAAATAGACCAAAACACCCCTTAGTTGTATTCTTCTTCCACATCCTTGGCTTCTGAGGTTTGGGAGGCGAAGTCCTTGATGTGAATGGCCCGACCAAGGCGGGGCGCCGTCCGCCCCGTCCGCGCCCCTCGAAGACGGGGGCCTTGCGGTCCACTCTCTGACGAGCTGACGAGGGCCCCCGGAAGGTTCAACGACGGTATGGCTTGGTAGACGACATACGTTACTAGGGCCCCCGAAGCCGGGGGTGTCAAAGAATAGCTCGGTGTTCGTTCACTACCCCATTTAGGCTCAGATCATGTTGTCCAATGTTTTAGACCAAATCCACATAAGACACGGTCATCGTGTCTTTCACCAAACGGTCATCCAAAGCGCACCAACGATGTGACACGGTTTTGAGGTCTTGGATGTGCAGGAACCGGGGGCGGAGGCTTCAGAGTCGATGGTCATCCCGCGAATCGCGGCACTCAGAGTCGTTGATTTGATCCACGACCCGTGACCCATACTGGACGCATGGGACCTGGAAGGTGCTTGGAAGAAAAACAACATCACTTGACCCATTGGTGGCCCAGGTCTTTGGCTTGGTCAATGCCAAGTTTGAGGTGAATACATGATAATACATGATGTTTCGGTTTCATGCCTGGTTTTGGGCTTGGTCTCACACCTTCTGTCTCCTGGGTTTGGGGCGAGTTGAACGGCTTCGGTTCAGTTACAAACGTCAGTTTTACATGGGGGGGTCACAAGATGAGAAGTTGGAGTAGCCAGAAGTTTCCACAGATCTGCTCCGGGTGTTCTGTTTGTCACCAGCGATAGGATACCACATGGTCAGATCTGGCAGCCACCCCGTACCGGTGTGTCGAGACCATACCATCCAGAGATGGCCATACCATCCAAGACCATCTTAGCCCTCCCAAACAAAGACCTCCGTCTCCCACCCCGGCGCCTCAACGGGCACCGTCGCACTGCCGTTCTCCATCGCAGCAGGACTCGCAGCAGGTGACCGCCACCATGCTGGGCGCCCAGAGTGGCTTCGTGGAGGGGCTGCGGATGATCATGAGCTGCGGAGGCCGGTTTCAGCGGAGCGGCCGCTGCCCAAACACAGCGCCGGCAGAACGGCAGAACCCACGTTTTTTGTTCTGCGCCGATGCGCCAAGACATGTTTCTTTTCTTTAACGTGTTTTCTTTTTGTGATGTATGTGTGTGCGGTTGGTTTAACCACAACATACCATAACCTTTTTTTGTGTGTGAGTGAGTGAGTCTGTGCCGTTGGTTTAAACATTTGCGTCTTTTTTCTTGGTGTGTGTGTGTGTGCCCCTTGGAATCACAGGCATCCTGTAGGATTGTTTTGCCTTATGTTTTTTCGGCAGGGGAGCGGTGGGCATTCTTGAAGTCACCGCTCAACGAAGACACTTCAAGTTTGCTGTGATATGCAATCTGGACGCAGATTGCACATACCTGCGGGAAGATGATCACCACTCATTTCCCTTTGGGCCCCTTTGTAACTAGAACAAGACTTCTGGCCATCGCACCTGTTTGCATTGGCAGTCACGTATTTTGAGCTTGGAGATGAGGCAGTCACTTGGTGTTTCGTTTACTTGAACCCTTAGGTTTTTCACTTAGGCTGGCGTTTGGCACCGCATTCACATCAGTACGCATTTCTATGAGTGTGTCTCTCCTAGTGAGAGCCCAGGGTGACCCCGCAGAGTGGCCCCTGTGGACCCGTTGAACGGGTGTTACTCGAACGTATCCCCTGCCCCGACACAGAGCAGCTCGCAGCGAGCGCAGGAGGCTTATGCCAAAGTTACTTGCTAAGATTTGTCGGATTCTTGCATTCCAAGCTGGCTCATGCCTTTACGTGACCGTAGCGGTCAAAGCTGCCAGCCATTTTGGCACCGCGTACGTGGCCGCAGCGGCCGAAGCTTGTTCAAGTTCAAAACTCGCTGGAGTGTGCCGGAGCCTTTGGTGTACACACAGCACGTACATGTTCAACCAGGTTTGCATAGGTTCTCTAATGAGGTGTGGCTTCATCGTTTCTCGTCCCTTCCATTTGGTTCCCTGTTCATCCTTTTCCCCTTAACATACCTCTGTTTTCCTCTATTCTTTCATGTCTTTCTGTCTTCATTTCTTTTCATCTCATCTCTTTTCCTCTTTTGCGCACAAATGGCGGGGCCCCTAGTATATCCGTGCACCACCTACTTTAACACAGGTTTCCGGTCGCCCAGGTCTTTACAATGAGGTGGGTCTTCATCGGTTGTCCCTGTGCACTTGGTTCCCTTTCATTGCAATCACACACACACACACACACCTTTGTCCCGTCTTGTCCTCTTTTCATGTCTTCACTCGTTTGTCTTGCTGTGCACACACGTGCACATTCGCCTAGACCTTAGAATTTCTCGCCTCCCCTCGGGGAGGCGTGTGCGTGTGTGTGTGCCCCTTGGAGTCACAGGGATCCTGTAGGATTGTTTTGCCTTATGTTTTTTCAGCAGGGGAGCGGTGGGCATTCTTGAAGTCACCGCTCAACGAAGACACTTCAAGTTTGCTGTGATATGCAATCTGGACGCAGATTGCACGTACCTGCGGGAAGATGATCACCACTCATTTCCCTTTGGGCCCCTTTGTAACTAGAACAAGACTTCTGGCCATCGCGCCTGTTTGCATTGGCAGTCACGCATTTTGAGCTTGGAGGTGAGGGCAGTCATTTTGTGTTTCGTTTACTTGAACCCTTCAGGTTTTTCACTTAGGCTGGCGTGTGGCACCGCATTCACATCGGTATGCATTTCTATGAGTGTGTGTCTGTCGGGTTGGTTCTGGATTTCGTGCCGAGAGGGTCTTGTTTGCAGATGCTGTGCTGTGACTCATTGGAACAGTGCCAAAATCTGACAAAGAAAAGAGGCGGCCATGGCAAATCTACTGTACCTAGTTCACCACTCTTTTTGTGCATAGCACATGCAAACTGAGTGGTTTGTGGTGGGTTTTTATTCTGAACGTTGATGGACTTGGGAATGTGTACAGCTTTTCTTGTGCAGGAGGATGGGAATCCCAAAGGCAAGATGAATACTGTATGAGGTGGACACCAGCACAGCAGATGACACTGACACCCTTCGGGTGGCGGGTTCTCAAAAACATCGAGCGTGGCATTATCAACAGTGGTTCCGAGAGTCCAACCCGATAACAAAAATAGAAACACACACCTCTCAAGATTTGTTGTTTTTTCTGTGCTCTGTATCTGCCAAGTGGGGCCCCTTTGCTGCGTGAAAGTCTAGTATGCGTCTCGCCAAGTTTGGGTGTCTCTTTGACCTCTCGCTTCCTCGCTGGGCTCGCGTGAGGCAAAGTAGAGGTGCGCAACTCCCAAGGCTGGGTCTGTGTGAGGTGGCTGGGTGGGGTTGTGGCATGTTGTGGCTTAGGGATTGTGCTTTCTCAAAGAATAGGTCACGAGTCACATGCAGCAAAATGCGAGAAAAACAGACACCGCTGACCCCCCAACGGAGAGTCACACTTTGGTAAATCTATAGAACCCAGGGAGCGTGTCTGCTGCTTTTGTTTTTTCCCAAAAGAGGATTTGGAATGGCCCTTTTTGGTCTCCTGAACAATGGGTCTTGTCTCACAAATCGCCCCCCCCCCCCAATGACCTATGCCACCTATGCTTTGCTTCATGTCGTCGATCCCCCAGTCAAGCCCTTCTCCCTTTCGAGTCTCCGTTTCTCTGCACCGTCCAGCCCGTCTCCACCGCTTCGTCCGTCTCCGCGGGCGCGGGTCTCGGTCGTGAAGCAGCCGCACCCCTCGCAGCGCAGCGCTAGGAGAGACGTGCATCCACCTCGCAGTGCGACATGTGCAGCTCGAAGCGCTGGAGTTTCTGGTGAATCAGCCAGGTGCCAAGCAGGCCGGGTGAGGTGGTCGGATCTGACCGGATCCGTTGGGTCTGGATCGGTCACCGTAAGACGGAATCCCAAGCAACATGGAAGGAACCAGGGGTTTTGAGGTCGGTTTTGGTCTTGGGAAGCACTGGTTGCCAGCTAGTGGTGACATGTGGTGGAACTGGATTTTCTGGGCTTGAAGCTTTGGGTGGTGCTTGGCCGCTGTCGAGCGCGGCTCGCGCCGCGAGCGCTCGCGGCCGAGTTGCCACGTAGGATCTGTAGGACAGGGATGGGTTGTTCACCGCTTTTTGGTTGTTCACCGTTCGAATGGGAGATAGCTTGTGTGTTTCCCATCATCCACTGGGCCCAGGGAACGGGATACACCATGATACACCCAAGAGATAGCCATGCGTTTACGGGTTTTCGAAGTCTGAAATAACTATAAGACTAGAGCCATCAACAAACATCCCCTCGTAGGTTCGACACTTAGAGGTTATTTCGCAGCAGGGATGGTATACAATACTTCCAAGGGCTTCTTGTTGAGTTCAACAACCAAAGAAGGACCCCAACAGTATTAGTTTTCTACCTTACAAACTTGCTAGCTCACCAACCTTGCAAAGGGCCGAGGGTTACCAGGCAAAACACACATGTGCACTCATATATCCTCGACTCCACCATTGAACCGTGAAAATCCGGAGTCACCTTCGCCGACACTGTTCTACCTCGCTCGTTGCCGGCGACTGCACCGGCGCCATCGGTCCCCGTGGGAGCCGTCACCGTGGCGCACCGGGAAAGGTGCTCCGCACCTGCCGGGCAGAGCTCATGAAGCTGGCGGCTGAAGCCTGTGGCCTTCCGGTGCCGCAGGTGCGCGGGGTGGGAGGTGGTCGCAAGGTTTGGGATGTGTGAGAAAAAGGTCAGAATTGTTTGTAGATGGTGGAAGAAGGGCCTGCAAGCTAGTGGCTACAGGCGAATTGGTGAGCAATGATCCTTTCTCCATGAAGGTGCCATTTTCCAGTCTGTGGCTCGCTTATTTGGCCTGAGGGAGTTCCAGCTCCTGTGGTTGGTTTTCTATGTCCTGTATCATACCGAAGGATATCCAAGGAAAGATCAACATTGAGAAGCCACCATTCCACCATTTTGATCGATGAAGGTACTTGCACGGTTATGCCTGGAAATCGCAGATTTGTTTGTTTGGAGCTGGATCAGCCTTGCCCTTTTATCCAACAATCATGGAAGTGATTTGTTTTAATATTGAAGGTGTTGGGAAGAGAAGCAGGGCGTTGGGAAGACTCGCCATGTTTGGAGGGAAGGTGTGGTTGTGTGCTTGTGATTCCCCGATACAGCTTCATTCTTATCAAAATCAATCCAATACGTTTGAACAGAAAAACATTACATAGAACATCAATGGCTTCCAATCGGTCGCCGCAACGACGGAGATCCGAACTCCTCTCCCTTCGCTGGCTGGGATGGCCGGGTGCGGAAGAGCCGGGGCCAGGGCGAAGCAGCTCCGGATGTTGGTCACTTGACGCGGGTGACCTGGACGAAAAAGGGACGGGACGTGGGTTTCCCCCGGCGGTTCACGGCGCCGACAGGGACGAGGTTCAGGTGTCAGGGACAGGGAGGAGTGGGCCAGGTGGGCCAAGAAGATTCGACAGGAAAGTAGCTTGATCCTTTTGGTAAAGAATTGGTTCGCTTTCCACAAACTGGCTCAGTGTGACTCCAGACCCTTCCTGGTGCTAACGGGCAAGCTGCTCAGCCGGAGTCAAAAACACACTGACAGAGCAGTGACGGGATATGGGTCAAGTAAACGACATATACGTCCATATGAACCATGACTCATACGACTGTGGCTCAGAAACATATGATCCAAACCCGCTGGTCAAAAGGAACAGGAAACCCAAGCCCTGCAGGCTCTCGGGGCCCACCTTCTCACAAAAGGTAGCTTCACTGAGACATTCTCCAGCCAACAAACATGTAGAAAATTGGGCCGCCGCGTGTGCCATGAATTTGGGGCGCTAAGAAAGGCATTCTTCATTTGGATCATCCAAATGGGCGCACCTGGGCACACCCTCCCATCACAAACGAGCTTCCTTTGCACAGGATCTGCCTGAATCATTTCAAGACCTCTAGAGACTTCGGGATGCTTTTCAGATCTTGCAACGAAGCTACTCAAACCAGTTTCTTCGCGTAGCTTGAGCTTTGACCCTCTCATCCTCCCAAAGAAATCGGAAAGTACCGCCACTCATCCGATCGCTCTCTCCCCTCCTTCGGCTTCCCAACAACGCCCGAACAGATGTGGAAAGTGGCTGACCCACTCGCTCAGGAGAGTTCTCGTTTGAACTCGGAGGACCTTCGGCAGCTGTTTCTACTCCTGGAACCCGATCGAGGTACGAGGCCCGGAAGTAAGACCGACCCGAACGCGTTTCTGCCGGAGAGTTGGGTGATGAGGATCGGCCGATGGGCCGCCCATGGGATCTTTGAAGGACGAGGATGGGCGGTGGGCCGCCCATGACCCTGAGGCCGCCCTTGGCCCTCACCAACAATCCATGGTGTTTGAAGACCACGTGCACGACTTGATTCTTAGATTTGTGGAAGCATGATAACATGAACATTCAGCTCTCAGAAAATGGGGTGGAACCTGCGGTATAGTACAGTATACTAGAATTCTATGGAACTCTAATAATTTAGGTCCCAACTTTTGGATGGCGACCACAACTTGAATGTTTTCTAGACCCACGTACAATATTGTTCTCACGCACGAGTTCCCTCATGAGTTTGATCTTCTAGACGGCCGCACAAGGAGGAAAAAGGAGTTTTCACTCCCACCCTACTTGTACACCTCCCTACACCTCCCTACAGCACTTACAGCCTTCCATTGGGCACGCCTCCCAGAGCATGCAACAGGTGTTTGACCCGTTTCGGCGCTCCGCACCATCATGAGGCTCTGCCAACCCCCTTCCAGACATCCTACCCAGGAAAAGTCATCCTTTACAGTGGTTTCAGAGGCTCGATGGCACAGACCCGATGTCCTAAACCCGGGTTCATAGCTTCATATACACTAAACCACCTCTCTTCAGGTCTGTGCCATCTACTCCTCTCAATCCACTATATTTGGATGGGCGACTCCAAGCGAAGAGGTGGACTGATTCGATTCACCTGGTCGCTTCGCTTCACCAGTCTCAACGCCCGTGGCAGGAGGAATGCAGAGGTCGCTTCGTCCGTGGTGAGCCTCCAAAACGTGAGGAGCGGGAAACCGGGCGACGTCGGGGTCCGAGGATGGATGTGGATTTGGTTCAGGTGTTCTTGTCTGGAGGACTTTTGAAGTCCAACATTGAGTATTTGGGTGAAAGGAAGTACATGAGTTCAGCCAAGAATCCATCCTGTATGTTCAAACGGGTTTTTCAAGACGCATTTTTGTTGGTGCCAATGGTTTTGTTGACTTCAACGACTGCGCGCGTCACGCATGGATCCTCCCCGGTGGCAGTGGATATGGCACCTGCCATGCAAATACTGAGCGGTGTATAGTGGTTTTGGATTCTTTTTGATTTTGATGGTTCTAGGTTGAAATTAGCAGATTTACGTTGATTTCCAGAAGTTTCCAGTAAAGAGAAAGGTTGATCTGGTGTTGTCATCTAAAGCCCTTAGTAAAACACATGTTGTTCCGTAAATACCATTGTATATATCAATGGTGGTCAGAATCCTAGTGAATCTAAACACGAACTCAATTCTGCTTGCGACCCCACCTCTTTGTCAGTAGCGAAAACTCCACCTGTGCCACAAGACTGCTTCCTTATTCATATCAAGTGATGCGCAAGGAAGCAAGATCTTGCACCACCTCTCATGTGTACAGGTCTTAGGTCAGCAGGGATCCTCCTAGTACCCTGTGACCTGTAGTCTACAGGCTGTGCTCCGAAGGATTCAGTCCTCCCTCTTTCACAAACGTCCATCGAATCGCCCCAGTACGCACCTGGCGATGAGCAGACACTTGCTGCGGCTTTTCCCCAACGCAGATGAAGAGCAGGCATCCACCCAGCGCGATGCAGAGGGTCCGGATCCGGCCGACTGTCGGTTCGTTTGGGGCGGGGCTGCAGTGCATGGGTGACCCCGATCGGAGCGGCAAATGAGGTGGAGGAAGAATCCTGGAACTGGCGGCTGGACGGAATCGACTGGGAGCACTTTACATGAGATTGGTTTAAAGCAACTTAGAGCAGAGAGCAGACCCCTTCTTAAACAAGAAACAAACTTTTGACCTGCCAAGCACAGGTTCTTGATGGGTCTTTCCACTTCAAGCCAACTTCCTGACTTGTTTTCCCATGGCCGTGGGTCAACCCCCCGGCAGACCGAAATCCTGCTAGGTGGACCGATGCCCACCTCGTCGAAGAACTGTTCTTCCTCTCGGGGGTCTCTCCGCTCGGCTCTCCCGCCATGCAAGGTTCGCTACTAGGTTACTAGGGGCTCCTGGCATCGCTACTAGGAGCCCCTGGCCGCTACTAGGAGCTGTTTCGTTTTGGCCCCACTGGTGGCCCCCCACGAGGCCCCCGAGCTCCACGAGCTCCACAGCGTCTCCGCGCTCTTGGTGGCGCACGGCTGCGGGTCCTTGGCGCGGCTGCTGCTGCGGCGGAGGCCGCAGATGGGCTTGGAACAATTGACGCTGGGCAGCGAACAGGAGGTCTTTGCGTCAGGAGTTGGATTGAGTCTAAGAGTTTTTTCGTTTGGTGTTGTATGGTTTCTTTGTTTTCCAGACCACCACTTGTGGTTTGGAGAGTTGGTCGGAAGATATGCATTTATCTATTATTTATCTATATAGATGACAAGTCTGTTTGTTGGGATCTGAGGCTTGAGGCTCTTTGAAAGTATTTGCTGACTGCAGTTTAACCAGTTGCGGGCTTGCGGATCAGTTAAGAAATTCTTTGTTCTTCTCTGGCCTAGCCGGTGCCTGGCCGGGTACACTGTAGCTGTGCACAAATGTATGTTCGAAGCCCCCGTTGGACCTTTTGCAAAGGGCTCTCTGTCTGACAAATCCGTGGGACCCACACGGAGAAGGCCAGCTTGGACACCAAGGTGTTGCCAGCTGAGTCACAAGAGCTTAGCTCAGATCAGCATACAGCATAAGAGTTTTTCTTTGCATGGAGAGGTGCCTCAAACAAGAGTGTTTCTCTGCTACTTGTGATGGAAGAACTCTTGCAACTGATACACCTGTAGAGGTGGTTGTTGGTAGCGCTTTTTTAAATGTTTTTTTTTTCTAAATTAGAGGAAACGAGAGAACGCATCATGCATGATTCTTGGACGCGGCTTTGCGTAGGACTCTTGCGACGCTTGCGACACTTTTTGCAGAAGCGATTGAGGGCGCTTCTTTAGACAACCCGTGGAAACCACAGTAGTGACTGAAAGGAGCAAGAACATTTCCAAATCGATGGAGAAGGTATTCTTTAGAGTGTGTCTCTTGCAACTGTGTCCGGCCCCACTTGTGCTGCTGTGACACGTGTGAATGTCATGGTTGCCACGCGAATGATTACAGAATGGCTTGGCAGCTGGAGAAGTGGGGTCAAAGTAGCACAAGTATATGATAGTATATGGCTGTGAGTCAAAACCACTTCCACCATCTTCCACCAAACCAAAATCTAAGGTTGACATCCTTAATCTATCTATTCATGTTTGGTCAACATGTTCGGCACCCAGATGCCATGGACAGGTTTCAAGCTGCCCCCTCCGCATCCCTGATGAGCTACCCTAAACACCTCTAAACACCACCCACGTTTTGAACACCTTCGAGTCCGAAAAAAAACGTCCGGAGAACCAACACGTGGCGCGCTCCGCATCCGCGGAGGGCGTGGCTTTGCCCGACTTCCTAGAGGGCTTCCAGAGGAAAACGACCCCAACAGGTTCTCACACCCGGTGAATTCCTGAAACCTCTACAGGGTGAATGTCAGCTCCTCCACGAACGGCTCAGGAAAAAGGTCCGGACCTTGGGCCAAGGCAGGGAAACCCCCTCGCGGCGTCGAAGAATCGTGGGAGTCAGAGTTCGGCATGGTAGCACCCAGTGAAGGATGCTGGAAAAGAACCCCTCCTCCCAGGATCCCCTGTTACATCAAACTGAGACATCGCAAACATCACGACTCTCCATAACCAGCATCTCTCCATACCTGTGATTGACGCCTTTTTTGTTGGACCTTTGCGATTGCCAACGGCTGTGCATTTTTTTGGAAGCTTAATTAAGTGATTGGCGCCTCTGAAAAAACACGCCCTGCATGTTCAACCAGCCAATTGCGCCGGTCTCATGACCCCGGTCTCGCAGCTGGCGCGCCGCAGGTGCGTCCGGCACGGTCATCGAGGTCGAGTGCGAGGCGCGACCGGTCGACCGAGACCGTGACCTGCGCGACGCGGCGAGGGCTCGGTGGCTCGTCGGTCTCTGAGGAGTGAAACCGAAGAAAACTCATGTACCAGTCGAGTCAGACGGGGTGGCTTTGAGTCACTTTAGTCCCATCCAGTGAGTGGAGGGATGTTCTGGGCACCCCGACTTCCTCCAAGTTCGGCACCCCTTTCTGACTGCTGGTAGAACAGAACTCATGTAGAGGGTCGATGAATCTATCTTCTGCACCAAAGGCCTGCAGATCTAAAAGCATTCTGCAGACGCGGGGGAGGGGCTTCGATGGTTTGTTCATGTGTTTTCATTCATCGACAGATTAGACTCGACTCTGACTCGAAAGGGTGAAGAAGATGTTTGTAAGAAGATTATTTGGAATCAATCATGTAGACTCCTAAGATTTGAGATTGTAAAGCCTCTTCATATTGGGGTGGCTTATTGATCAAGAGTCCGTCTACAGCACCTCTTTTCTAGAAGAGCAGGCCTTCCTCCCCCTACCCACTTGCTCCACCCCCGGCCTCTGCCACAGGTGCCTTCACCGGTGCCCCGCTCCTCCTTGCGTTTGCGCTTGCAAAGCGACGGCGCTCTGTGCCCTGAGCGGAACCGCGTTCTGAACTGCTCAGGGGCACTGACTCTCCATGAGACGGTTTTCTGGCATTTTTTTAAAGCCACAGACACAACCCGTGGTTTGTTGGAATATTGACCTACACTGACTGACTCTTAAAACTGTATCCGAATTCGTGAAAGTTCACCAGGTGCAGGCAGAGGTAAAGCGAATTGAACATAGTTCACCAAAGCCTTAAATCTCGCGATCCAATAGATAGCCACATATAGCAACCATAGATATCCAAGGAGCGTCTCATCCATTCTTTCATGCAACTGAGCATCCGTCATCCAAATTCGCACGGCTGTGGATCCCACCATCAACACCCATCATCCCAAACCGCTTCCGTCCGACCCGAGTTTCTCGGCCTCGCCGACCTCCTGTGGGGATCGGTGCTCCCGAGGATGGAGACCAAACGCTTCGCCATGAAGTTGCAATCCAAGCGCTGCTTGGTGGGATGTCCTGTGGATCGGCTCCGAGATCGGTGGAATCGGTGAGTCCCCGATCGGTTTCCGAGTCCAAGAAGTGGTCTGGAAGAGGTGGGAAGAGGTCGGGTTTTGGTCATGAGAGTGGGCGAAGCAACTTGGCTCATTTTGTGGTGCTAGAAGAACTTGGAACCGTTTGACACTAGGTTCGGTTTGGTTGGTCATTGAAACACGTCCCAAAACGGGACATAACATCACAGTAGGAGGCTTCTGGAAGAGGATTCCTTCTCTGAACACCTGGGTCTTGTCTCATGGATGCTGCTGCTAGTGTACAACGCCTGGGTTGGATTTCTGCCGCTGATTCCTGCAAGCGATTGCCCGGCCACCATACTGGCACTCTGTATATATGCCCCAATGAGTTGCTTTGTCTCTAATGACTCTAATGCGCTCTCTCTCCCTCTTTCTCTCTCTCTCTCTCTTGATGTTCAGGCAGTTTGCCTTTGAGCTCAATGCTGTCAACATCACTTGGGTGCCATCTTTCCTGCAAGGTGTTAAGCAGTCCCGTGTTCGGCTGTTACTCCCACACCTAGCAGTTCAAATCCCACCAAGGACACATTTGTAGGAGAAATAGACATTCAAAAGCGATGCATGCGAATACATTGAATTGAACATTTTCCTACGCATGTCGGAGGTTCAAGCATATACCCTCACATACCTGCTTAAGGTGTAGGAGAGTGGCAACAACATAACTGAAACTTCAATCACACTGTACACCAAGGCGCAAACATAGCCCATGGCAAAAACATGATTTAAACCCTGAAGAAGACCTCCATTGAGGCGTAGGGTCCACACCCCTGAAAATAAAATTGCCTGTTTGGGCCTTCTTGTTCGGAGGTTTGTTGTGGCGCTGGCAAATCCCCTGGACCGGCGCCATCTGTGAACCTACGCATGTCACATGGGTGAAACTTCAAGCTTTGGTCTTTCGGAGCGTTGAGGGGGTAGTGGCCTCAACCCATGAGTGTTCTCAGATTCCGTTTCGCTCATTTCACCACATCCACATAGTCTACATCATCCAATTCGCCTGTCGCTGCCAAAGACCCAATTGACAGCCAGAACAAGAACTGCTGAGGCAATATGCACATGGATTGGCAAGCCTACTCGGAGGTTGTAGCCCTGAGGACTGCCGAGTGGGCAAAAAAAGCACATGGACAATCATGGACATGCCATGAGGAACAAGAGCTTTCTCTGCTTCTTGAGGTGCTTCTTGAGGTTTTCTCGGCTGAGATTGGAACATGAAGACCATCATGTAGACCATATGCTGCATTCCAGCGCCCCTGGCCCCGTTGGTCCCGTTGGGCGCTGGGACTTGTGTAGCGGACCATTCTCAAGAACGAAGAGCATTGGCGCCTTGTTGGTGACTGAGTTGAGTGCTATTTTTGTTGTCTGCGCGAGGCAGGGCAGCTGAGCAGATGTGTTTCCGCCCAAAAGAGTCCGGTCACCCACCGGTTTTGCTCCTAGTAGTAACACCAGGAGCCCACCATGGATTCATTGAGACATTGCTGACTGCACCACCAAGTGAGTTGTTGCCTTATAGGCGCTTGAGGATAAGCAGATATTTGGATGCGATAGATGGTGATGATCTGTGTGAGCAATATGAATTGTGCAATCTGGCCATTGACAACAAGTGGGGTTACGGCAGAGCAGTTGCATGGGTTCTGGCTGGTCGTCTATGTCGTGGTGAGGTTTGGCAAAAGCTTAAAATGATTATGTACCAACAAAAGTTATTTTCATTGAGTGATGAAGAGTACAAGACAGTGACATCAGATATGCGCAAGGAATGGAAACTCAATGGTAGAATGAATGCTACTGAAAAGCAAGATCACGCTGAGATCACGGACTACCTATACCTACACAATTTGATTGGTAGGGGCAAATAGAAGCCGAAACATAGTATGGAAGAGGATGCTGCTCTACGTCTGAATTCATGTTTCACCAGAAAGAAACGAGATATTGGGACTGGTGAAATGGACAGATCTTTGTATTTGAGTATGAGGAAAAAGTTCATCAGGGCGCTTGTGGAGCAGAGTGCAAAAAGAATTGTCAAATCACAGATGACTCTTAAGGAGTACAAGGAACAAATATTTCGCCATACACCATCAGGTTCTTCTGGTATGAGTTTGCCTGAGGCTTTTAAACTCAAGGGTCGGAAGGCAACAATGAGCAAGCGGGTGGCTGCCGAATTGGTTGGCATTGATCAGTTGATGGATTGTCTCAAAGCCGTTCTTCAAACGAGAAGTCGCTGAGACCCCTACCATCCCGATGGCCTTGTACCTATGCAATTTGCCCAATCTTATTTTCTCGCTCCTGAATCAGATAATCTGACATTCGATCAGCGATTTCTCTATCGACGCTATCTTCGCCAAGCTCGGATAGGCACCAGTCACTAGATTCCGTGCCCATTCATTCGTAATTAGCTCTCCTAGAATCACCTAAGTGCAGCGCGGACATTCGGTTTCACTTAGATAGTTGGCTCTAGGAACTTGTGTACAGAACCTCTTGTTTAGCTGGTCTTTCACAACGAAATTCCACCACACTCCCCGCTACCCACCAACACGGTGAAGGGGTGAGGGAAGCGCCAGACTCGTTGCGCAAGTTGTGGGAGTAGTAACACCAGGAGCCCCTAGTTGCGTCCTTGCTCCTAGTAGTAAGGCCAGGAGCCACTAGTAG